ATAGATCTACATATTGCATAAATTACATTCTTGATAACTATATATAAATAAACTACTAAATGCATCAAAAAAACTAATCCTAACGAACCTGGCTTTAACGTTTCCCATAAAAAGAAATAAAAGAAATGACGAAATGAGTTATCATTGTCATAATATATAAGGTAAAGTAAAACTATATATATAAAGAAAATAAAATAATAATAAAAATAAAAAAAGTCTATTTACAGATCATGAGTAGGTCGTGACAGAGGGTCATTTGGGTAAATATCTACATGCCTAAAATGAACTTCGCAAGCTTCGATAGACAATATCACGTGTAGTCGGCCTGTTTTATTATTGGCTGCTCCATCTTTGTAGTAATTACATTTAAGTTACACTAACTCTTATATACTTATATATATATATATATACATAACTTATAGTACTTAGTTCTTTTTAGGTCATTTTATGTTGGCTGCAGTTTGTGTTTTGATAACTGCTTCACTATATCAAAAAGCCAAACAGAAGCTTTAGAAATTCTACAAAATAATGTTTATGATGAAAATATTGAAAATATTCATCACAATAAACTTTTAAATAATACATATAAAAACAATGATGATAATATCTTCAGTATTAGTGTTGCTAACACTAACTCTGAAACAAATGATAATGACACATAATCAGCCTGGATTCTACATGAAGAAATAGTTTGTTTTCTAACTAATATTCATAAGAACAACTTATTTTCTCAAGAAGAAAGGTCTTTATTACTTAAAAAGAACTATGTAATATATGAATTAAATACAACCTATTAAGTATAAATAAACAAATCTGAAAACTACTTCCTTCACTATTTAAAGAAACTAACAGAGTTTTATCAAGAGTATTATATAGAATATTAGCAGTATTATATTTAATTAAAAATATACTCAGGTCTATTTATATATCTAAACTACAAAAAAAAGATATAGATACTGTATTTGCATAGAAAACTATTGAAATATTACTCAAAAATACTAGAATATTATTATTAGATTCTTTATTCTATATCAATAAGACTAAAAAGAACAATACAATTAAATGTATATTATTTAAATATAATCTACCTAATGAAAATGATAAATTTTTAGAAAAGACCTCAAAATACTTATTAAAAATAAAAATACTACTAATTCATTTATTAATCAAGCTCTTAGATTTAAAAACTATACTTCTTCTAGAAAAAACAATACTAGTAATAATATAAGAATAACTTATTCTTATTTCAATAATAATGTAAACTGTAGTAGACATAGCAATTATTAATTTTATAACAGAAATTTTAACAAATAGAAAAATATTTAAAGAGGTAGTCAGTTATTACAACTGAGA